AGAACACCAGCGTTAGACAAATACACATTCAAGTTGCAGCAATCACAATTCAGCTGGGCTGATTGTATTGGTTTGTTTATATTTAAATTCATTCATCTAGCTCCTTTATGATAACCAGCAGAATCTTTTCTTGCCTCCAGTTTGGTTCTTTTCGAATAATATTTTGCTGGACTCCCCCTGGATGGCATTGCTCTTCATGATCTGTATTCGAAAATTAATTAATTTACTAAAGCGCATGACATCTGAATGTAATACGTCCAATTTTGTGACAACGTCGTCCTCACTTGCCTCTTCACGGTTGTGCCGAATGAGGGATCTGTTTAAATCTCCGTTTCAATTCGGGGGTCCATGATTTTTATTTCCTCGTTGTAACATGGTTCTGCCCTTGCGGACTTACCGACGAATGACTTGCGAGCGTGCTTCTAGTGCCATGTGCGGCAACTGCATTACAACGCCAAAGAATTTTTCGGTGAACTTGTAAAATAAACAGAACTTTATCGTTGCTAACGGAAACACGAACATTTCGTGCTGTATGGCAATGGTGACGGCTGCGCGCGTACTGCAGACCGCTGCAACAGCCAGTCAGTTGCCCTGGTTTCGCGCTCCCGGCCGACCTCATCGGTCGGTGAGGAAGAACAGGTGTAAGCCGATGACCGCCGCTCGTCGTTGGTCATCGATCTGAAGACAACGGAGGTGAATGGAGCATGGACTTCGACCGATCTCGCAGAGCATCAATCATTGTAGTCCATTCCCCAATCGTACGCGATCCACTCTACCTCGCCCGAATGCGGTATCACGCTTTTACGGTCTGCGCCAAATTGCGAGCTATCGTTGTTTACTTGCCATTGGCATTGCAGCCAAGCCTCAGCGATCGGAGGGACGACGCCTCCGTTGACCCCGGGCGACGACCTTCCTCTCCTGAAGTCAACGACGCCGCTTCTCCCTCTCCCTCGGCTTGTCATCGTCGTCGTCGTCGACGTCCTCGTTCATTCGCCATTTCAATCGGTCATCGTGTGTCGACACACGATGCAATTCCGACTAACAGTTTGCCGGATCAGGCCGCTCCGGCAGCCGTGGTCGTATGTGCATGTGAAGTGGTGCAAGATAAGTTTTTGCCAATTACATTTATCATTGCAAAAGTCAATAGTGCAAATCGACGGACGGACGGACG